ACAACTTTTAAGTTTACAAGATTTTAAGCTACCCATATTATACAATTAGACTACTTTTTCAAAGTTATGAGAAATTCTTTACAAAAATATAAATGCAAAAGATAAATGTTAGGGTACACTTTTAAAAATATGTAACAAAAAAAAAAAATAAATAAATAAAAGTTACAATTGTATCTCATTGAAACTTTACCTTCAAGTTTGTGTGTTTCTATGTTGATTGACTAACTGTGTATTTCCAAAGGAAGAGCAGCCAGGCTTCACTTCATAGAGAATGGATTATAGATGGTTAGGAACAAAACATATCTTCCAGGTTGAGGACTGTATAGAAAAATAAATTCCATTTTTGTTATTATGATTTAAATTACATGAGACAATGCCTCTTATAAATGTAATGCAAAATAATATCTCTTATATATTTGGATACCTATACTCTAATAATATTAAATGTCATTTGTAAAATGTATTTTTTAAGACAGATTTATTTGAGGAGCGACTTTAAATGATGACATGAATAGCGGGCCATACTTTAAGCACATGACAAAAAACATTCTCTCAAATTACACAGAAATGGGTTATTTAGCATAGCTAACATTAAACATATAGGTGAGTGATAACATAATCACAATCATAAACAATGTGAAACAACTTTAAAAGACCTACACTGTGGATTACAAGCCTTTTTCACTGGGGTAAAATCTTGCTCGAAATTCGTCATGGCCGCCCGAAACCCCGAACCCGACTGTATAAAAGATGAAGTCATACATTCCATGTTGATGACTGTAGAATAAAAGCATTTTTTTAATATGACAGAGTACTGCATGAAACAATGCATGTTTAAATACAACATGTACAATGTCAAAAAAAATCATGAAAATATTTGTGTTTAGACTCAAAACAAATTGTTTTTAACATTAACTCGAGATAAGAAAAGTTCATCATGTTATTTATAGATAATAAACAAGCACAACTAATGTATTAATATCACAAAATAAAATGATTATCAAATTAATTATTTAGACACTAAAAGACCTTTTATTAACAGCAGATTCAATTTTGGTTTAATAGCTATCAGTAATGCATACAGAAAAATACATTTTTATTTTTTTACATCATCACAGTACAACATGTAGTCCTTCATTTTTTTTTTTTTTTTGAAAAGCTTAAGAAACAAAAGTGAAAATGAAAATATATGTATAGCATATATCACACATATTTAGAATCAAAACAAAAAGTAAATGACTTAGAATTAATCTTTTGTAAATTCCTCCTTTTCTCTTATTAGATTCCTAATTAATATCTCTTTGATCACCATTTAGTAAGTCTGAATTCCATGGGTAACATACATAATGAATTATGAAATTATATCATGATTTATATGAATGTAAGTTAGAGACAACATATCACATACATGTAAGTATTACACAGTCATTAAATTAACCATATAATCATGCTTAAATGCAAAGATGACCTTCATAGGGAATGTAAACAATTAAAAAAAAAACAAGACAAACTTACCAGAGATATCCAAATATATGCCCAATAAGCCTATCCATTAAATAATCCAGTGATTGATTACATCTCAGCTGATCCTGAAAAAAATCATACAATTCAGTGATACACAATTAACCTCATTTAACAATGTAAGTAAAGCAAAGTAATTTACAGACAAAAGGGATAGAAATGTAAAAGATACCATGTATTTTACCAAAATTTAGTGAACATTTTTCTGATTGAAATTCAATCATAGAATGACCCATCATAGAATTATTAAATGCACTCTGAGTTACATGCAGGCTAAACAACTGTAAATCACATGAAATGAGGATAAATATAGTATTTACATTCAAAACAGAACTTTACATAATCATGGTTAAATACAAAGATGACCTTCATATAGGAAATGTAAACAAAAATAAGACAAACTTACCTGTAGAATATGTCTGTCAGAAAGGAGATTTCAAAAATGAACACGCTCTCAACATTCACATGACAAGAATGCATCAGGATGTTTACTTCCGTGGTCATGGAAAAATTGAGCTTTATACAAGGAAAGCTTCACAGTAGGAAAATCATCAAAGTAAACAAAAGATAGTCTTACATTTTTTGAAAATCTAAGTTGACTTCTTAGAAACAAAAGTGAAAATGAAACTTTAATTTTACAAGTGTATGACGTCATAATGCATAGGGTAGCTCGCTGACATGGATGACGTCACAATGCATAGGTAAGTTTTTTTTTTTTTTGCACACGGCCCTAAACAAACTTGGCTCGCTGCCAAGTATTTACCTGTGTAGTCAGCATATTTTTTTTTTTGCACACGGTCCCCTGACTTGAATCGCTGCCAAGTATTTACCTGTGTAGCCAGCATATTTTTTGCACACGGCTCTAAACAAAAACTTGGCTCGCTGCCAAGTATTTACCTGTGTAGTCAGCATATTTTTTGCACAAGGCTCTAAACAAACTTGGCTCGCTGCCAAGTATTTTACCTGTATAGTCAGCATATTTTTTGCACAAGGCTCTAAACAAACTTGGCTCGCTGCCAAGTATTTTACCTGTATAGTCAGCATAAACAAAAAAAACGTAGTACCTACGTACCCATGTAAAAAAAAAAACACAATGTAAGCGCCCCGTATTTAAGGGAATAGGTAGGGGGTTAGGGCTAAGGGGGTTAGGGTTGGGGTTAGGGTTAGTTAGGGCTAGGGGGTTAGGGCTAAGGGGGTTAGGGTTAGTTAGGGTTAGGGTTAGTTAGGGCTAGGGTTAGTTAGGGTTAGGGGACTAGGGTTAGTTAGGGTTAGGGTTAGGGGTAGTTAGGGTTAGGGTTAGGTTAGGGTTAGGGTTAGGGGGCTAGGGGTTAGGGTTAGCACTCCACTCAGTTGACCCATTTTTGAACCTCATTTACATAAAAAGTGCACTCAGTTGAACCCCCCGGTTAGACCCGTGAACCCCCTAGCGGGACCCCTTATACTACTCACGGTTTCTTGAATTCGCGGTATTGGTATATGATAGAAGTTTCCTCCCTTATGTATACCTATTGAAAACTTATTCACTGTTTCTTTAATTCACGGATCCATTAACACCGTGAATATAGCGAATATTAACACCGCGAGTTATTTCCCCCTATACAGTAAACTGTTTGTGAGATCCGGGCCTGTAAGAAGTATGTCATTCAACGGTACTCTTCCGTACTTAGCTGAAGAGTCGAATGCGGCACACAGTTGATTTGGCTGGTAGACTCCAAATGGTAGACTCCAAATATTGGTAGATACCAGCGCTCACTGTCATGTGGGATTACTGGCGCTTTTTGGCATGTGCATTGTCAAAGATACCACTCATAAATTCGAAGAAGTGTTCTCTCTTCACAGGGTCAAGTCTCAGGCTTGACTCGAGTGTTTTGGCTCTTTGTATAGCTTGGGGATTTGTTATTAGGTATCTTGAAGTTCCGATTGCGAAATGGAAGGGGTGCTGACCAATTACCGTCTTCATTCATGTGCAATCCATTATTCATGATCTTAAGAAATGTTCTGTCATCTGTGGACAGTCCAGGCTTGTCAGATTCTGTCCTAAGAAATATGTCTTTTTTGAGTTTAACAAAGTGAAACAGCATGGTTTCACTTTCTTTGCCCTGTTGACTTTTTTCAAAGGTGTGGTCTGTCCGCTCCCCACCATGCGATGTCTGTCCTCTGCTCTGTTCTGAAACTGCATGAAGGGCTGTCGGATGATTTTTGGCCTTGAAAATGTCACATGAAACGACAATGGAACAGTTTACTGCCACGTGAAAGCCTGCACAACACTTAAAACATATTCCTTTATCCTTAACTATCTTTCTTCTTATTGCAATTGGTTTTGCACGAAACGATCTGCATTTGTTGAGCGGGTGCCCTGTGTTGTGTATAGGGCATACCGTCCCCGGTGAGCCTGAAACTTGAAGATCCGTTTTATGTGATGTCACTCTAAATCCAGGTTTTTCCGGTGGCTTCTGTCGTGAAGCAGGTGGACTGGTAGTTGTTAATTCATACTGGAGTGTTGAGTTGTTTCTAATTTTGCTTGTTCTCTAACAAAGTCGCAGAATGCAGAAAATGGAGGATGTAATGTATTATGCCTCTTGTTTTACTGAGGTGCTGTTGTTGTCCACTGTTCTTGTAGCATATATGGCAGTTTACATACTATTTGGCCAATCCCGATAGTTTGTCAAAATACGAAAACATAGACGCGTACAGGTCCTCCTTCAACGCTTCAATTTCTGCAAGGATGTCGGAGAAGTCATACAGTTTCATAAAGTCTTTGTAAGTTTTGGAAAGGACGCTAATTTATTTTTCAAGGCGCTGTCAATCATTTCTGGTCTGCCTTATCGTTCCCAGTTTCGTTTGAGTCCGAGAGCTGGGTTTCGTGTATGGGCTTTCGCGCAGACTAAGTACGTACATTAAGTTATGCCTCCGGTGTTTTTCACAAGCATAACAATTTCATCGGTGGCGATTGCTCCAATTTTTTGAACAACATTCTTTAAACTTGATTTCAAAGACACACATCTGTCTTATCTGTAATACGCAGCTATGAAAGAAAGAATAGCTGTCCAGAATGCTGCTATTGGAAAGGAAAACGCAGAGTTGGACCTTATCCTTGAATTTTTTTTATCTTTCGCGTTTAACGGACTATGGTGTCGACAGTGAATATAAATTTCGTCTTTTTAGAAGCAAGTTGAATGTAAAAACAATTTATTTTGTCTGCAGTCGCCCGTATCTAAAAAATATTTTTGCACAATTACGGAGATGCTGTGGAGTTAAGCCCTCTCCAGAAAACATCAGATAAAAAAATCGGAGAGGGCTACATTATTCCAACTATAAAAAGCCCTAGCCCTAAAAGTTTGCAGTGTAGGATTTTTCCTTTCGGAATTCCAAAAGCACCTTCAAAATAATAAATTTAAATGAATTATACAATTGATTAATCATAATGTAAGTTAAAAATTATTCCAAAAAATTATGAGGAGAATTGAATCTATAGAAATGTACTTATTTAATTATGATGCCTACTTTATTATGATGACTATATGTGAAAGATACGTACCGGTATAACATCCTCTCTAATTATTTCCAAAAATAAGCCCAATGTTGCTTTTTAAAACATATGTTGCGATAAGTATGAACCAGTAACTAACTGGTGGACGTTTTCTTTTTTAACTTACCAGGCAAACACGGATTTGTCCGTTTTTTTCTGAATGCAGCTTTTGAATTAAATGTTGTTCAATAGGCTTCCACCCACGATTTTCATAGTTGATGTCTTTGTTGCATAAAATACATATGGCTATTCCATGCTCAATGGTCTGCCGAACATTTTCTGATATTTTTGCGTCTACAACCAACTCGCGATAGCCAATGCCGTTTCCAAGCGTTTTTAATAATACTATTGTCAACAACTTTCTCATCATGGTCTGGCTGGACGAACCGCGCCATGACCATGAGTGTTACGAAATCACAATCATCCCGACGTTTGCGTTTACTATATTTGGATATAAAAGCAAACCTCTGGCTGATGCTGATCACGAATTAAACACATTAATATTTTTACAACGGATAGAAACGGACAAAAACGGGACATTATCGCAGAAAAATAGAAAAGAGCTGACATATCGGAAAATATTTGTTAATATCGGATTCTTGGAAGTAGTACAGTGTGAGACATTATATCCAGGATTGAGGTTAAAAAAAATGGAGGTTCAGTGTAAACCAGAAAGGTAATTAGGGAGGACCGTAGCAGGAAGTCAATAAGTAGTATTAACGCGAGGATTAAAATGATGAACAAAGTTTCTTCGTTATTAATTTGATTTCATTTGATTTATGAAGAAATGAATTAATGAAGTAGACATTTTTTTTAAAGAAAAACCATTCCAACAGAATACAACAGATGACTTCGAGTATTTAACTAGATGTTGAAATATCAATTGTATTGAGTATAATAGACAATCGTGACTCTCGCTGAAAAAAGAAACATGAGAAAAATACTTTTCACTTAATTTTCTAGATGCATCATACAAATCGTTATGTATATAAAAATTTTCCGACGGAAATGACCCAATCAAAAAAAAAAATTGGATATGACGACCATCCTGTTCCGTTTTCAGGACGGTCTTTAGTGTTCCGCCATTTGACCAGCAGTATTCAAGGTGACAGCATGGTTACTTCTTGCTGTAAGTTATCTTTAGAAAATGGACGCTTCGTGGAGTGGAGGTATACACGACGAAAAACAACGAATACAGAGTAGATCTGCGCGAATGGGAATCGGATCAATATTCCAGCAGCAGGGGAACTAGTTTAAAACTAGACAATTTTTAAACATGAAAAATGGCTAAAGACATGATTGATAATACTTTCAACAAGAAGGAAGAGTTAAATTACCACATTGGATGTAACATGTTTTGTACAATTAAAAAGGACAATCCATGTGTAGACATTCATCAGTACTGGCAGCCAGTAGGCCAAGAAACACTCGCTCCAACGAAAAAGAGTACCACAAGTTGAAGTCTCGTGTGACTGAGATAGAGAAAGCTATTCCTCAATTCGATTCACTCGTTCCATGTTTCATGCTCGATGATCATTTGAATCAATTAGGCCTGCTCCAGTGCCCTACCTGTAACCCGCTGGATTATACGAAAAGCAACGGTGTAGGGAAAAACTTCTTTAAGAACAATAATTAGCATAAATATTGCAATACTATTATATATATTACTAGAATTATTTGTATGTCTTATTCGCTCTACTGGTCAGAGACCAGAAGAGCTTATGCGATGGTAAGGTGTCCGTCTGTCTAGCTGTCTTTCTGCAAAAACATTTTCAAAACGCTACACCTCCTACAGTTTTAGGCTGACTTCGATCATCAGGACTTGAGTAACTGTTGTTGAACTAGAGTAACATCGAACCCGATATAGTTTAACTGGATGGACGTAATTTTTATACCATAGTTCTACCAACGGAAACACGAGGGTAGAACTATGGTAAAAAAAATTTGATCACTCCAGTTAAACTTTATCGGGTTCGATGTTACTGTAGTTCAACAACAGATACTCAAGTTCATGATCGAAGTCAGCAATTGTCTGATTTCAATTTAA